AAAGACCATAACTAATTTACAATTCTTTTTCCTCTATATCACCTATTTTTCTTTCATCCGGCAAAAATTAAGGTAATTCTTTTATAGTTGATGGATATTTTGGTCTTTCCAAGTCAAGTACTTGTCACATAATAGATAAGACATAATGATATTAGTTTTGAGAGGTTAAGTTTAGTTTCCAAGTCAAGTACTTGTCACATAATAGATAAGACATAATGATATTAGTTTTGAGAGGTTAAGTTTAGATGAGAAAAGTTCACAAAAATTTAATTTTTTTAAGGTGAGATAAATTATCTATAAAATACCCAAAACTTGACAGAGATTTACTCAGTTTTAAATAGTGGGGGGAGGGGGAAGAGGCTAAGTGGGTTGACATGCCTCCAATAGTTGAGTGGGAGTTTTCTAAAATTAACCTTAAATAAAAGCACAACTTAAGGCTCATGTGACATTAATTTACCTTAAATAAAAGCACAACTTAAGGCTCATGTGACATTAATTTTATACGAGTGGAGTTTATAGCATGTCTATCACTCAATGGACTGGTTTGAGTTATTTATCCTTAAATTACCCTGCACATCAACTCTGAAAATCTTTTGCTATAAGAATCTCTAAGAGAAATTTAATATTTATTTGGGATGGATATGTGATCCTTCTAATTTCCCTCAATTTTTATGATTTGTAATAAATTATTTAACAAAATAAATTAAGTTATTATTTTATATTACTCACCTTCTTATAAGTTTATGAAGCTCATAGCTTAGATATGAATATTGTTGTAGATATTATATTCTTCTAACTTCTTAAGCTAAACCTTTGGATGTTGTTTGATATTGGATATATATGAATTATTTTATTAAAATACAATCTATTGGATATATATGAATTATTTTATTAAAATACAATCAATATGAATGCATAATATGTATAAATCATTCTCAGACTATATTTTATAATTTTCTAAAACTAGAGAGTAATCATTTTGACAAATCAATTAGTAATTGGGAAGATGTAAAAAGAGTACAACGTCATATTTTGGAATTGATCAAATAGTTTATATTTTCTTTCTTGATTGAATTTGCATATTCTTTTAGAAAATTGTAGAAAAAATTTCTTGAATATCTATAATGCTTAGTCGCCGGATAAACAACGGAAGTAAACAACAAATGGAAGTGATTTTTTATAACTGAACAAAATCCTTAATGACTAGATAAAACCTACTATTTTTCTTTGATGAATTCAAGACTTTATTTTTTCATTAATAATTATAGTTTTTTAGTATTGGTCCCTTACGTCATTAATATTTAGAAATTATACATTCAAATTACTAATCAATCTTAAATTATTAATATTTTAAGGCTTTAAGTGTAACTATTTCTTTGGAAGACAAAATGTTAAAGCCAAACATGGAAATATCTAAAAAAAAGTTAATAATTTAAAGTTTTTTACAACCATGTTATAGTAAATAAATAAACTTAAAGTAAATAACTAAATTATCTGACCACGTGCAGTGCACATGCATTCCACCTAGTATATATATATATAGAGAGAGAGAAAATGGGTATGCTTGGTACCAAGCATAAATTTTGTGTTTGGCAGTGAGGTGTCTTATTCTCATCCACTCATTCTAATTCTCAACCACTCACAATCCATGTGAATGTGGCCCTCAATTTCAATGAGTGGATGGGAATATGTCACCTCACTACCAAGTACAAAAACTTGTGTTTGGTACCAAACATACCCATTTTTCTCATACATACACACATATATGTATATATATATATTCACTTCACTTCCATCCCCTTTATTAGAACTCCCAAACAAGGTGGATTAAGTTTACTTATGCTCCCCTTACTACACTCAAACAATATTTTATCTTTTCTCTCTCCTTCCCTAGCTTTCCTTTCCAATATTTACCTTTCCTTTTCTTCCCGCAGTAAACTTCCAAACAAAGCATTAAAGTAAAAGATCATAGATCCATAATTTACTAAAAATTATTGAAGTTAAGATATGAGGTAAATAGATTTGGGGGTACAAGAAAAAAAAGATAGAAAAAAGTTAATTTTTTTAGACTTTTACTTTAATAATTCATAACAATAAAAAAATTGAATTATTATTATGATAATTATTAATAAACAATAGCAAGTTTAAGAATATGAAATAGTGGTTATATCATCAAATGCAAAAATTGCACACTTCTTGATCATCACAAATTAACCTACATCATTTTATCAAAATATCGCACTTCAAAAATTGTTCCCAATTATCCCACTAAAATATCCCACCATCAAAAAATTGTCCCACTTCAACAATTGTTCCACTTTTTATAAAAATGATCCAAGTGACTAACCCCTCTTAAGGTATTTGGAAAACCGATTAGTTTTTCTAAAGCGAGTCAAGTTTCATGACAACTTTTGTGACTTTCGTGTTGATTTTGTATCCACACCTACTTTTGGACACGCTTTTACAAGAAGAAATCGGGTCGACTACTTAATACGGAACTTTGGCCCCACGAGAAGCGGCTCTGTGACCAAAGCATTTAAGCAGGACTATTTAACACTTTATGAAACACTAATTCCAACGGTTTCTTATGTATTTTATGTCATTGAAAAACGTTTAAATTCAGCAGCACTTATTCTGCTAGTGTCAATTCATTTAAAGATGTGCTAGTAAATGTGTTCGAACTTCTACAACAAGTATAGAATGACACTGATAATTCTTTACAAACCAAGTAGGTCCTTGCTTTTTTATCATCTAGGCTTTTATTTATTAAGAATTAAATAATGCACTTATGACTTATGAAGATCTCCTTAAGCAGTTCAAGGAGCAGAGCTGAAAGGTGAAATACTTGCATATAATGGTCAAAGGCATGTCATGAATCTCCAGGCTCCAGCTAAAGTGAAATTGAATTCTAAGACAAGATCTTTCCCGATGATGGAAAATTTTGACTTCGCATGAAATATGATGGAAATACAGAGTGCGATATCAAAAGTTATAAATATGATGAAATAAAAGTGTGATATCAAAAGTTATACTCATTATAAGTTCAAAAAATGTCTTAGTTTGAAAAAATGTTACTCAAATCTATGTTCAAGACACTAATGTCAAATTACTTATTCCTGAATAGGGAAGAAAATTTTAGATGATTATTAGCTTGCAATCTTCCACATCCAAATAGTTTTGAACTTTCCTTAAGTACATTTAGCAATAAATTGTCAAAATATCAACAAATAACATAACATTAATGAGGCATGAAGATTTCAATAAATTTAACAAACTATTCAATTAGTCACGAACATCATAAAGTAATAATAAATTTATCAATGAATTAATACACACTAACCCGATTGCTCCACCCATGCCCATTCAGATTTATTGATCCAATGGCTACCCTTGGATCCCACTTCTATATAAGCCCTTAGCCCACATTTGAGGCTAGGCTTCTCTTAGCATGATGATAATTGTAATCGTTTTATCTCTCCTCTTTCATTTCTTCCCCCTTTGGTTTCTTAGCTTTAATGGTAGGATTGATCTCCTTTTCTTTCGGGTAGTTTCATTTTGCAGTTCAATTTTATGGTTAGTTATGTCCAGCAGCAGTGTAGCCATAAATTGAACTTCAAAAATAATAATAATTAATTGGCAATCTCATTTGATAACAAGGATACTTTTTGAGAGAAAGGATGGGATCTCAAACCCCAAAAAAGCCCAACAAAATATTATATATGAAATGGTCGTTTAAAAAAAAAGAAAAAGAGTACCCTCAAATCCAAAAGTATAGTCAGGATATAATAAAAACCAGCCCCAATAAAATAATGACAACAAGTTTGAAAATAACATTCCAAGATTTTGTTATTTCTTGAAAGTGTTACATAATTACATCATTACAAATAGTATAAAAAATATCACATTTGATATATTTTACTATGCAGTCATTCATCTAGTGATCTACCATGTGGTTATGCAACTTAGTTTTCACAATTTTCATAGCCTAAAATACTCTCTCAACAATTGCATTTGCAATGGGTAAAATCAATCTGAACTTTACAAGCTTATAAACAAAGGTATAGACCACATCTTTTAATCTCCATCATTTTTTCTGCAAGACTTGAAATTCCATTTTAAGTGTAGAAACTCACTTTTGGAACGTACACCACGGATGAATGTCTCAAATTGACTATTGAGAATCAGAAGCTTCAATGGTGAAAAACAAAGAGGGTGAAGCTTAGCGAGATGAATTAACTTTTGCTTGTTTAATGCACCAAAAGAACTATTAAGGTTTAGGCAAATAATATATCGCATCTTTATGAGAGCATAATTCAATGGGCCTTTGAGTCCTTTGTTCGTTTCAACACTCTTTTAGCATGAATTAGGGCTCAAGCTGGAGCGCACTTAAAAAATTACACCTAAATAACTTGCTCCACAACACAGGTTAGGATTCTCTTTCAAGCACATGTTATCACACTTGCCTCCTATGTGACTCATTTAATAAGTGAAATATTAAATAGAAACATTATCTTCATTGATAACCTAGTTGTGATATCCGTTCGACATTAACCCTGACCAGATCTCAGCCAACGTGAAAATCTATTAGGAGCTAATCATATACATTTAGTTCAATATGTGGATTTGATCGATGCTTTTTAGTTTCCTGACAAAAAGAGAATTTGAACACATCAATTGATTTCTATTTTCTTCAATGTCCCATCATACGTGCCTACTGACTCTTGAATCTTGATGGGTAACGATTATGCTGGATCACTAGCAACAAAATTCAAGTACGCGTTAGTGACAAGAACTTAACATTTCTAATTACTTGAGATAGTGAAGAGAACCTTACATGTCCAATTAAACTACATGGCTGTTTCCAGTTATTGTTGCTATAAACTGGTATCTTTGCTTCAAGTCTAGAGGTAATTATGGTGAAAATGATAAATCTGAACTTATAATGAAGATGATCACTAATTTGGGAGTGCAAACAAATCAACAAAAATCACAAGACTTACACAAAGACAATCCAGCCGAGGAAGGCGAAGACAAGGAAAGCGAGCAGGAACTTGACCGGAGAAGACGCCATCTCCGAGATCCCCGCTCACCAAAACCCTAGGGCACTCCCTAGGAAAAGTAAACGAGAGGCCTCATCCGAGCAAAGAACGGAGCCCTAATTCGCCAGAATTGAAGGAATTGGAGGAGATCTGCGATAAAAAAGCGGCGACTTTTATCTTTCTTGAGATCCAGAAGAGAATAGGGTTTGAATCTGAGGGTCAGGGATCCGATCGGAGGAAGGAGAACTGTTCCGGTTAATGCGAATCTGATGACAGGGGAGAGAGAGAGAGGGAGAGAGAAGAGAGAGAGTGAATGAGTTGTTAAATAGGGTTCTTTTTAGATATTAATCCCTTACATATGCTGAAATTGCATATCAGGCCCTCACATCTTGATAATGGCATATTAGTCCCTTTAAAAACCCTATTAAATATTGTTTCATGCCCATTTTTTGTAATTTATAAAGTTTTGAAGATTTTAAAATTATTATCTAATATCTAATATAATACTATTCTAAATCTAACCTAATCTATCTAATTTAATCTAATCTGATATTGAAAGTGTGAATAATGTTAAAAATTTTCCCCATAATAGCCTCTAATGTGTATTTGCATGTACAATTATTATATCATAAAAATATTTTTACTTGTTATGGGTATCCATGTAATTTTATGTCAATTGATGTCATACACATTAGTATCAATATTAAATGATTAAAACGCATGCATACATGTATTAAATTCATAAATAAAAAATTGATAAGATAAAAAGATAGGGTAAAGTTATTTAGTGGGAGATTAAATGATCAAGTAAAATATATTCTTACTTAAACTTCAAATAGTCTTCTTTTATGGTTCAAAATTAAATCGTACACATAGAGTCTTCTCACCTTCATTCAACATCCTAATGGCCACCATTTTATTTAACGATTCTAAATAAATTAATGTATACAATGAGTTCATGTCATTAGATGATGAATAGTGATACCCATCTGTTATGGGCTAATATTTAAATTTAAGAACCATATTGTTTAAACTATTTTTGCATTGCTTCATCTTCCACATAAAACCTTTTAAATCCACTATAATTCTTCTTTTATATTACTAACTTCCATATAATAAATTTGCTCTAAACCATTTAGGGTCCTCTACATTTCTAATACCCCCAATTCTTTTTGATCATTTTGGATTCTACCACTTCATTTCTTGGGATCCAACAAGAAGATAAAAGAATTTGCATTGCTAATCCCTTTATTACGTACATTGCTTAGTTTCTATGTTATTCTATTTTATTCGTGCCTTTAGCGCACACAGGAGTCGAATTCAAGCCCTCCACGAGGGAGCGATATGGTTTTGTCATGTGACTTACTAGGCCGCCCTATGTTATTCTATTTTAAAAGAGTTTATCTTCATTTTAAATATTTTTCCCTCACTGTAAATATTCATGGCATTATATTGAAAGTAAATAAACTTTTTCTATAATATATACTAAAAAGTTTGATGGATAAAAACTCATGTAGCATGGCGTAGGTATAAACAGTAGTAACACTATAATATTATTTTTAATAAGAACTTGTTTGGTTGATTTGAAGTATCAGAAGTGAGAAGTAGATCAAATCTATCATAAAATTATGAAATAGGAAATAACAGAAGTAATATTTTTTGTTTATTTCATAAAATTTTGGAAGCAGAGGAAATAGTATTTCTTCCACTTTATTCACTTTTTTTATTTGGATAGAAATAAAAAATATTGCTATGAAGAGAGAAAGAGGATTTTGTAGAATCTTATTTAGAAATAGAAAATATCCATGTAATAAAAAAATAGTTTTATTCCTAAATTGATTTTAATTTAATGTAGAAGATGATGGCATATATGATATACTTCTCAAGTAGTTCCTATATTATTATGCTTTAAAAGAATCATTTGAATTTGAATTTTTATCCATATTTGTAAATATTCGAAGTGTTATATTGAAAGTAAATTATTTTTTTCCTATAATACATGGTGAAATTTTTGATGGAGAAAAACCCACACGCAGCAAGGCGTAGGTATAACAATAGTAATACTCAGGGACAAATCTAGGATTGTTCAGTTGGGGGTGATAATGTAAATCAAGCTTGTTATCAAATCAAAAGCTAAAGCAAACGAACTAATTTAAAAGCTAATATATTATGCAAAATTAATTAATGTTAAAAAGGTGCTTATATTAATTAGAAAAAAAGTTTAAAAACTCAATTTAAATATCTCGGCAAAGAAATACTCAATTATTTTTCTAATTCAGTAGTAAATTCAAAAGGAATTAAATTTTTAGATCCAAATTATAATTATGAAAAGGAAAAAAAAAAGATGAAACTCTAATACCAATAATAATTGAACAGTACTTCTTAGAAACAAGGAACCGACGAATTGACCATTACTGGCTCTCTTCTCTCTTTCTTGGATATCAATATCAAAAGAAATTGTTCGTTATTGTCAAGTACGCATGAATAATAATTTATTGCAAAGGAGGAAGATGCAGACTTAATATTTTTGGCAAATGGGAGTTTCTATTATCAGCATAATCAAGTATGAGGGCATGAGTGATATGAAGTATCTCGCTCAACCGGGAGGCGGTGTGATTCCCAGCATAGCACAAGATATTATCGGGGGAGGTGAGTCTCACTCCCTATGGGGTAATATGCCAGTAGCAAGTGTAGCTCTGTCGAAGCACAGCTATATTTTAAGTTAGGCTTAGATACTAGTTAAAAGTGGTTGTGGGAGGTAGAGAGAGTGGCGCTTAGCCAGGGCGCCAGGGGCGCCCCCTGCGCCCCCCCCGTGTGCGCCCCCACAGCCGGCCAATTCATCTCTAGAAAAATATTATTTTTACGAAGGGCTTGTTTGGCTAACATGAAGTATCAGAGTAAGATAGAACAAAACTATTCTAAATTTATGAAATAGGAAGCACCATTACTATTGTGTTTATTTCGAATGTGTTTGGGTTGAGAGAAAGGGATAGAAAAGAGAAGGAAATAGGAAGGAAAAAAGAAAGGATAAAAAAGAATGTGATAAGAAAAGAAAATGATATTTTTTTTACTGTTTGGTTAGAAAGAATATTATAACGAAAGTTAGAAGAGAATTCATAAGAGAGTCATTTTCTCTTGTTTAGTTACCTTTTTGAGAAAAGTAGGTAGAAAATTATTACAACATAATTTTGATCCATACTTTTTGGAATTAGATTTAGATTTTAAATAATTTACAAAAAATAATTAAATTAAATTGTGATTTTACCATATTTTCAAAAAATTTATAACGAAACATGTTTGCACAATCTTAACTCAAGAAAATTGAGTCAAATTTACGATGACTCTAATTTGCATACAATCTTACATGGTTTTGGACTAGCAAATTATTCATAAGCTCAGGTGAAGAAAGATGATTTCGAAGAAGGTCTAGAAAATAATGCAGGTCAAGCATAATTATTCAAAATCAGTATCATTCATATCATAGGAAGTAACAAGTTAATAAACTTATATTTTAAAAAATGGGCAATTTCCTTACACAAAAACTTGAGTGGTCATCAACATCAAGTTTGTAAAGACTAATAGGTAGAAGCACAACCGCAATTTCACTAATTAGAGAATAACATTTCTCACACATAATATTTGTAGAAAAAGACCAAGGAAGGAACCAAAATAGAACCATAGAATGCATTCAGGTAAAAAATGAACTAGTCATGCTCTAACCTAAGCAAATCTAAAGTAAATGTCATAATATTCCTAATATAAAGTAAAATCCATTTCTGGTCACAAATTCTATTGCAATCAATTTCATATAGAAAATCTTAACAAAAAAGAGAGAGATACATCTGCTGAAGTCCTTAATTTTTGACTTTAGTGAGCCCATCAAAACATCACTCTCGCATTCTTCATCCCCTAAAATTAATTCAAAAAATTCAAATAAGTACAATATAAACATCAGAACCTAAAAACAAAGTATTAACATTCTTTTAGAAGAAAACTAGAAACTACCACTCATCGTGTCATGGTTTCTTTCTTAAGACTAATCATCAGAATCTTATAACATGACAAGAAAGATGCTTCAACTAATTTTTCCATGTAATAGTCCTAACAATTATTATCAATTTACTTCATGTTCTCACATGAGTCAGTTTTCATGAGTTTGAGAGTCATTGGTTTGAAGGATGTGAGGATTGGTTTGCTGACTTATTAGTTGAAGGGATATTTTTTTGTCGAACTACATATGAATACTTAAGAATGTGTTCTGTTTAGAAGAAAATTTTGAGCTAAGGCATGCGTGCAGCAGTGTTATATCAAGTGAATAGCTAAGTGTATCTTTAACGAGAAGCCGACACGTGTCCATTTTAACTAGATACCTAATATGTTATACTTTGGAAGGTTTGACTTGAATAGCTTCAACACCCCTTCCGGGTCAATAATTTTCGAGATCGACTAAAAATACGGTACTTATTGGCCTACTAGCAAGATCGAGATAAGAGACGTCCTCACTCGACTTGCCATCCATGTCAACCCCCTTCCCTTCAGCACTTGACCCTTCTAGGTCGATAACCTTCGAGATCGACTAAAAAGATGACACTTGTTGACCTCCAATGAGATGAATTGAAAGATGGTGTGTCCTCAGGTCCTTGCCGATAGTCGATTGCTATCACATTAAATGAATGATCAGAGTCATCATTTCTCTAGCACTGAAAGTCTTTATGACTCATCGGACCTCGTCAGCACCATACACATTCTGTCACCTTCACATTAGACATTTAGGTGAATCACCCCCTCTACAGCCAACACATGTAAAGTAGATGATGACTGAACTGCTTGCTTGACTCGGCTGAAGTTCCGCATCTACCCTTTAGATCTGTTATAAAAGGAAAGTGATGTCTGCTGCCTAGGATAAGCAATCTCTTGCTAAGAACTATACTATTTCCATACTTCTCCACTCATGCTCTGTACTGACTTGATCGTCGGAGGAACCATTGGAGATCCTAACTTCGACCTCTTACATGTTCTTCATGTTTAGGATAGGATTCTCGGCCTAAGATACAGCTGTTTGAAGGAGATTGAGGACCTAACCTTCTTAGTCCACACATAAACTCCCTGTTCGATAACTGACATCAACAGTCTCGTACCCACCGTGGGGCTCATGTTGGCCTTCTTGTTTTGATGATGTTTAACAAATAATTTATTACTAATGTTGTTTGTCTAGTGTCTGTGCATTCCTATGTATTGTAGACAAACAACGTTGTTGGAGGATGGATGGATTGAGCCTACACGTTCATATCAAGAGGAGGTTG